CTGCTAAACACAGGTCACTGCTGGTTACAACACTGCTTTTTGGAAGCATGCTTTAACCATTCCCTCCTCCCCGCTCTTTGCCCCCCCCCACCTCACCCAGCGTGGTTTCTGCATGTTTCAGGGAAAACATAATTAACGAAAAGCGTTTGGGTTTTCTCTAGTTGCTAGCATTTTGGAGAGAGACGAAACTATTTAGAACTTCTAAATTTTTTAGCAACTTTTTGGTTTACAGTAAATACTTATAAATGATTATTCTTATTTTGGAAGGGTAAATTTGATCTAAGGGGTGTCACTCATAGAAATTTACTGTCTCTCCTTCTTATAATTGGTGCTTACGACAGTGTAGCTTTCCCTTAGCAAAGGAAACGTGGCACACAATTAATAATTTCCCAGTTACTTTTTTGTTCTACTGTTTGCTTTTTGAAATATCTCTTTATCATTCTGCCTTCAGCTCTTCAGGCATGGCCTTTGTTGTGTATGAACACAACCTGTATCTCCTGGAATTATTGTAAATAGTGTCCACACTTTAAAACTTTGTGGAAGCTGCTAAATGTAAGAGAAAGTATATTTTAAGCCATGAATGTATTCATTCATTCATTATTATCATTTCATTTATTTATTCGTGAGTTTTACAAATATCTAGTGAAAGCTTGCTGTGTGTTTGCCTTGTAGGAGGTGGATAGAGTCTCTGACCCCATGGGGCTTGTGGGCTGCAGGCCAGTGGGGTAAATAAATGTAAAATGCCAACTTTGGGGAATAACTCTGTGATGACATATATTATCAGTGTTGCAGAAGGCCTGTTCTCTGATCAATTCGTTTAAACTAAGATCTGATAAGTGAGTGGATCTAGCTCTCTAAGGGCGGAGGGAAAAGTGTTTTAAGCAAAAGGAACAACACTTAAAAATAGACACTTTGGGGAAATGAGAAGGAGATAAGTGGGTGAGGAATAACTGGGGGAGGTTAGGCTTGAGAGCCAGGCTCCTGCCACATGATACCCCATCTCTCCCACCAAACTAAGTAGGTTGAACTTTGTCCTAAGAACAGGGGCAAACCATTGACCAGTTGTAAACAGGACCACGACATTGTCATGATAGCAGGCTTGGCCAACTCTGAAAAGACAGTATGAATAGATTCACAGGGAAAGGTCTTAGTGTGAAAGAGCCTGAAAGAACTAAAGGTAATTTCTTGGGGTGACTAATAATGGGTTTCTCATCTTCTCCCTTTTAAGACTCTAGTCTTCTAGGGTACAGGACTGGTCTCTGGAGTGTCTCCCTTGCCTCTTTAGTAACTCTGGGGACCAAGTCTCAGGACCAGATTTTCCAGCACAAGACTCCTGAACATCTTGGGGATAAGATGCCCCATAAACAGTAAAAGAGGGTTTCCAACCGCCCATGTGGCCAGGTGTTAGTCCATTCCATGCAATCAGAAGAATACCTCTCTTTATGAGTTTTTGACTATTCAGTTTCAACTGTCTAGAAAACCTTTCCTGCTCCCTTCCCCTGCCTTCTCTTTTTCCTGGAGAATATCACATCCTTTAGGTATCAGGTCAGATCAACCTATACTTTCTAGGAAAGCAAGAAAACTTTCTCAACTATCAAAACTAAATAATAGGTTAGGTATCCTTGCTGTAAGCTCATGTAGCAACCTGTGCGTTTTTATCCCATTTAGATATCACTTGTCATACAATGTGTGATTTGTGACTTGTTTGTGCTATTAGACTATGAACATCATTAGGGCCAGAATTTTTTTGTTAGTATCTCTTGCCTCCAGCAAGTTCCTATGCATATAAGAATGCTAAATAAACATTTGTACAATTAAATAATGAAAGGGAGTAGGAATAATGATACTTAAGTTTAGCAAGACCTGTAAAGACCATGGTCATTCTGTGCATCGACTGCATTATACAATTAAAAAACTCCAAAGAATGTTATGCTACTTTTATAATACATTTAAAACAGCAAAGTGTTTGTGGTGGTTTTAATTTTCTTTAAGAAAATGTGTAGAAGTCATTTTCTGACCTAGAACTTCAACCAGCAGCCAGAAAGATTCTTTTTTATTGAAATGTAGGAAGAAACCAACTAAGACATTTCCTTTTCAAGACAGGGTTGGATCTGTGTCTGAAACATTTGAGGAACTAAAGCAGTTCTCAACGTGTCTATACTATACTTTGTTCATGGTTTCACATGTCTGTTTTGTTATCTGACTCAAAGACCTTAAACATTTTTTTTCCACTTCTTAAAGTTGATGCTGTATTTGGAGCCATCAACTTATTTCATCTGCAACTCTGTTGACTAGACTGTATTTTGAATATTGTATCACAGTGATGACTGAATTATATAATAGAAGAATATGTAGATATTTTCTTGGTTTATATAATTAAATGTCTGTAAAAATAAGATGAGGTGTTAAAGAAAGAGCCAGCTCCAAATTAAGGTGATGTAAGAGAAATGAGGACTGAATGGGTTTAGGTTTAGTGACTAATGTGTCTTCTAGCTTATGCAGGAAAAATGTAATAAACATTGTAAATATTTCTGAGACACTATTTGAAAGGGAAATCATATCTAACATTCATTATCCTATTTTTAAACTACCTAGTGAACCCACACCACATAGTTTAAATAAATGACTACAACAGTGTGGCAAATGCATTGTGGTATAATGGAAAGAATATGAGATTGGGGCATCTCGTCATTTCAGCTTCTAGGTCTTAAAGGAAATCTAAAAGAAACAGCGTTGCCAGTTCTTAAGGCTCATGTAGCATATTTTAGGATTCATATGGTTCATCTGCAATAATGCCATTCATTTCTCTTTTCTAACTAGCGTTCAGATACTTGGTTGTTCAAAATATCTTAAGTTCAAATGAGATCAAGATTTTAAAACAATCCTAAAAACAACAATCAGCCAAGCAACTCACCTGTCCTCAAATAGGGGGAGAAGGAAATGGGGAATTCCTGTTTAGTGGGGACTGAGTTTCCATTTGGGAAAATGAGAACATTCTGGAGATGGATGGTGGTGATGGCTGCAGAAGATGTGACCATACTTAATACCACTGCACTGTACACTTAAACATGATTAAAATGGTATGTTTTATGTCACATATGCTTGACCATGATAAAAAAATAATCTTGGCTCCCTGAGAAGTGATGGCCATAAGGAAGCTGTGTGTGTGCATGTTTCTGCTCATAAGAATCTGTTTAGCCTGGATTTGGGGTGGTTCTTCATATATTAAAAAAATCAGAATAAGTTGCTCTTGTCTTCTTTTGTTAACAATTTTTTTAAAGATTTTATTTATTTATTTGAGAGAAAGAGAGAGAGAGCATGAGCCAGAGGAAGGGCAGAGAAGCAGACTCCCCACTGAGCACAGAGCCCAACGCAGCACTCAATCCCAGGACCCTGGAATCATGACCTGAGCCGAAGGCAGGCACTTAGCCAACTGAGCCACCCAGGGACTCTTGTTAACAATTTTTGTGTGAAAAAGTCCATTTTAGAGAAAAAGTTGATTATTAAAGGATTTTGTTGATCTACAACAAAGCTTCCAGAAGGAAAAGTCTAGTTATTTTTCCACCCGTCTTTTCCAATGCATGCTTTTCATTTCCCTATCATTTCTTCTCTTTCTTTCCCATGCATGGTGGAAATGAAAGGCTGAGGTGTGAAGATGCTGGAGACTCTCATCATGGAACAGTGTGGGCAGGACAAGTGGCTTCCAGGGTCACAGCATTAGCCAAGGAATCGCTGACATGGGTTCTGAGACTTACTTGGTCCCTGGATCTCCTTGGGTCTCAGTTTTTGTCCAGCACGAAATGAGGGAAAAATAATACTTTTCCTATTGGTTTTACCAATGGGTTAATGCATATGAATGTGTTTTGTAGCTTGTAAAGTGCTCTAGAAATTTAAAGTGGCATCATTATTTCTACTGCTATTACTATTAATGATTTTTCACTGATGATTTCTGTGGTATAAAATGAGGAAAGAATATAAATGAGGAGTGATGCTCCATTCTGTTTTGACTAAACGCCAGGTTATGTCAGCCTAGGGATAAGTTGGAGCAGAGATGCTGCTCTGATTTGGCTCTTTGATTTCCCTCATGGTTTCTTTCTTTCAGTCTGTGCCCTGAGTAAGCAGCTTGCTCACAGACCCTTGAATATGATTGAAGTATATTCAGAAGAGAGAGGTTTTTTTATTTATTTGAATTATACTTACCTGTGGGTTAAATTCATTTGAATAGGGAAAATAAATAGCAGATGACTGCAGAAGTAAGAAGGCTAAACATTCTTTTAGGAGAAATCATGAGAAATAAAGTGGAATGCTGTACAAGAATTGTCTTGCCTCTAAATAGTTGCTTTTGTAATGATTCCGAAGGTGGCGTGTATGTAGCGTGTTACTGACCCACTTTAAAAAACATGTGAAATATATGCTCTGATATATTGTGGATAATTAGGATGTGAATTATTTTTCATTAATCGTAAGGAAATTGTGTGTGTGTGTGTGTGTGTTTCTCCATGTGCTTGCTTATTTGGACATGGAGACAGAGACAGGGATTCTTCCTTTCTTTATACTTTATGCTGTAGTAAGGGTTTATGCCCCCTTGAAAGAGAAACTGTATTTTCTCACTATACCTTTTGCGAAGTACTGAGACTCTTGGACTGTGCCCTCTCACTCAGTGGGCTGAAGTACAAATGCTAATTTATTGCCAGACTGCAGGGTTGTGATTTGCATTCCAAATCAGACTGCAGCTTCCCATTATAAATTGCTTATCCCGTTGTTCCTTATCTAGAATTTGTTCCTTCTATTATTCTACTCATTCCCCAATAATGACCCTTGAAACAATTCCCATTTAAAATCAGATTCCCACTTAAAAGCAGCAGTTTTGGTGGACTAAAATGATAACAATTAATTACCAAGACATCAATAGATGCCTTTTTAAAAATTTCAGTGTTTTTCTCCCTTTCCTTTAAGAATCTTCTGGCACGGAAGTAAAATAATTACTTAAAATATATCTTTCAGGCTTAAGGGTTTATACTCATTCTTTTGAAAACCATACTTTTATATCTTTTTAAATCTGAAAGGTGTGAGCTTACAAAACCTCTGTTAATACTAAACTCGTACAGATAAACTCTGAGGTGGTTTAGTTGCATCCTTTCTTGCCACTTTTAAATCAAATTAACTAGATACTCAGAGAGCAGAGCAAAGGAAAATGCATTTTCGCAAGGTATCTGACTGGTGAGAAGCAGAGCTGCGGCATAAAGAACCGGCAGGAATCCGGGCTTTCCCACTCTGGTGGCAAAGAGGGGGAATCATGGGTTGGTGGTCTGCTTCATGTTAGGAGGACACCCCTCCATCTGTTCACAGCTCAGCCTCTTTCCAATTTAAAGCCCAGATTTCCATACAAACCTCAATTTCTTTTCCCCATTTTAAATGCAAAGCAAGGCTTGTGAATCACAGAGTCTCGGCTACTGGGATTCAGACCAAATTTCCCCCCAAAATTCTCAGGCTCTTTGCTTGAATACCTGCTTACAGTGGTACACAATGGGCAGCTTTGAGAAGAAAAATTGATAATCTTCACGGAAGAGTAATTTGAATGAAATTACACTTGACAGCCTGTCTCCAAGCAAACAAGAGGCGCGAGGGAGCCTTAGCTAAGCTCGGAGGACTTGCCCAAGCCACTGCTGTGGGAGCTTCCCAGGGAAAAAAAAATCACCAGTTTTTCCAACATCTAATTGAGCTTTTGATTAATTCCGTGTACCAGATTCTACTGAAGAAAGGTAGCCATGGAAGAGAATATGGAAGAGGGACAGACACAAAAAGGTACTGTTCTAAAAAGGGTTTGTTTGTAACTAAGTAATTATTTTGCAGTTTCCTTGTTTGCTTTAGACACTTGCCAGTAGGGCTAATGAATGTTTCTCTCTTGGAAGGCATTTTTTTTTTGTTTCCCTTTTAGCCTGTTCCTCACTTGGAATAATGTCTGGCTTGAATGTTGTCGTTATTTGCAAATCTTTCAGATCTAAGTATCCAATGCATAGTCGAGTTTGGTGATAAGAGCATTGTGGTATTGTTGCGATCTCTTTCTTAGACCAGTCTTTGTTAACGTTCTTTTATTTCATGTTTTCATGCTTGTTGAGCTGGGCAGGGACTCCTGGTGTGAGCCACAGATGCAATATTTGGAGCTAGTTGTGGCTAAAAATCTGATGATGTAACCATTATCAATACCTTTGGATGGACATCTGATAGAACAAAGACCAAGCGTATATATATATTCTATTCTGGTTGGTGCATCGTCTTAAAAAAATCTTTTTTTTCTTTGTGTGGATGCAATTTAGTTTTAATATAGGTGGAGCAAAGGTTCATAAATTTTCAGAGTGCATAGTGATGGTAAGGTTTTCCTTTCTATGGAGTTGACGATAATCAACTTCTGAGTAATAAATGTCAAAGGTATTTTCTGATGCATTTTTTAGCCTTTGTAGGTATATCTATCTGGCTGTATAAATTAAAGTAAAATTGTCATTTTTATAGGTTAAAACTGGCCAAATATTGACAATTTCAAATGATTCAGACACTCTAGAATTTGTGTGTGTGTGACAAGTGGTAGCTCTGGAGGGAATTGTGGCTCTGTCTCAGGATCGGCAGCATTTTCTCTCATCCCTGTTCTCAGACTTATGTAATGTTACACAAAACGCTCTTGTGGTCTTAGGATGCAAAGAGAGGCACAGGTATTACTACACAAAGGTAATACTGAAGAGTAGTATTGGAAAGATTTAGCTGTCAAATTTGGTTTTGAATGTATGTAAATGCATTATTTTAGAAGACTTTATTTTACAGGAAAAAACAGGTAGTTTGGAAGCACAGTACAGTTTTCATGATTTTGAGCCATTCAGCTTTGCTGAGTCTCTTCACACACACACACACACACACACACACACACACACTCAACACATCTATATAATCAAAGACTATTGACATTAAATATTTAAGTATTTTATAAAGGCAATAGAGGAAGTTAATAGATAAGGTAATGTCCAAATTTTAGTCCCTAGCACACTCGTTAATGATACTCTGTAAAGAAACGCAATAATCTACATAGATATCATGTGATCTGTTTTTTAAATAAAAAAATCCTCAACTATCTTTATTGTGTGAATAAATAGCTTAATTATTCACCAGTGATTTGAAATGGCAATTTTCCTGGTAATTTTCACCCTTAAAAGGCATCTCTGTTGACTGTTTTACTTTAGGAATAAAGTATCTTATTTTAATATTTTTTATAGCACGTAAGGAGAGTGCTTCTTGGTCAAGGAAAGATAAACTGATAATTTTCACATAGAGAAGTGATATTCATTGCAGTAAATAAAATTTTGAGATAAATTGTGGATTGTGATAACAGGTTGAAATGTCTGAGCAAGCCTTGGTAGAGGCAGGAACCAAGAAAAATGATGTAATTAGTTATAATGTTTTTCTCAGGTAACACTGAAAATCTTTCCTTCATGGGGGTGGAGGCAGCAGCGATGTGATGAGGGAAGGTCCTGTTGCAGCGGGTTTTTTCATTTTTTGTGGGTTTTTTTTATTATTAAGGAGTGCATATTTAAATCAGGAACAGTAGTGGAAAACAGTTTTTTAAAAATTAAAAGTTGTATGATGGTCTATCAGTACATAAAGATGTAAGTTAAATATCTATGATTAAGCTTTTTTTATTAATTGAGAAGATCTAACTCTCATCATTCCTGGTCTATTCCTTTCAACTATGCCGATGACACCTTTTCTATATAAGTTTGTTTTTAGAAAGTTATATTTGCACATAAATGCTCTCTATGCATGTGCAGGGGTGGAGGAAACAATGCAAATTAGAGGATCTAAGTTGGAAAGCTACTTGACAAGCAGATTAATCATGAGAGATTTTTTAAGAGTTTAGGTGGACAGATTTAATGATCCATCAACTTTAAAGGAAAAGAGCGCTGTGCATTAACTTTCATCCTGTGTCTCTTAAATTGCACAGAATTTTCTTAAGTAATAATGCAGATATCACAGAATTCTCTCCCATTTGAAAGATGCTTTCCTGTCCCTTCTTACAATTTAAATCTATTTTTCTCTGTTACAAATTAGAAAGACTTGAATTCACATTAGTATTTATCCATGTCCACTTCCAAATTCAACTACAGTATAAAATGGAAGCCAGTGGTTTCATAAACATAGTTGAAAAAATATAGTTCAAACTTACAGACTTAAAAAGATTTTGTATAAGAAATATAGTTTTATTCATAATGAGATCTTCCTTCCCTATTTAATCTGTAAAAGGCAATTGAAAGCAGTCCTAATATTTACCCTAATTTAACTGTATATGTTCATCCTGGAAGAGAGGATAATTTAAAAGTGTGGGTGACTTCACCAGTCATTCTGCTCAATGGCTTGGTGTGAAACTGAAATGGGGTCATTAATCTGTTGCTACATCCATTTCTGCCACTGTCCCAAAAGGTGAGTATCTTACTGTGCTGAGTGGGAGGCTAGTGTTTTAAGAAACATGTATTTTTTTTTGTAAAACATGCCCTCTAAATGAAAGCCAATTACTTGATCTTGGGTCCAACTAAAGCAACCAACAGTATTCTGATATTGGAGAAAAAGAAAGAGGAAAAGGAAAGAAGCTATTTTGAATGTGGCCCTTGGATACAGCCATAATAAAGCTAGCATCCCTGTTGTCAAAAATTGAAGTACATGGTCATCCAATCATGGCAACAAGGGTTTCAGTTACTGTAGAGAGACTGAGCAAAGTGCATGAAGAGATTTTTACAAAGATTTAAAAGGTATACATTTATGACTTGTAGACATGCAACTATGTCTGGAATGTTTTGCCCAGTCCTATGGGAAAAGATGTAAATGATTTAAGTGAGTCTGATCATAGTGAATTAGTGAATGTGTGTTCAGGTGGCCAACCAAGTGGGTGACCATTACTTTATAGACAACCTCAATGAACGAGTTACTGAATTAGGAGGAGGTCAAAGCTGCTGAATTAATGATTAGAAGAAATGACGAAATTATACAGAGATAAAAAGGAAATAGTAATGAACAGGAAGAGCTAGCAAGTTGGAATCTTCATAAATTAGCTGAACTGTTCCAAATAGCCAAAAACTGATTGACGTCATTTCTGAACATGAACATCATATGAAACAAAGCCTCAAAAATGACATGTAATATACCAGAAATGTTTCATTGTCTCAAAAGATAATGGCTAAAGTGTTACCATGTTCTTCTTGTATAATTAGCAGCAGTGTATGAATCTGTGTGTCAGCTTCTTGAGGTAAACAGAGACAACCACTACCTCCCTTCCAACACTGATGTCCGGTTTACCCTCTCCTCAAGAGAAATCAACCCTTGGTGACCCTCGAGGACTACGTCACTAGAGGAAGTAGAAGTTCAAACTCGTGTGACAAGGCATAGTTTCATCATCTCAACACTGATCATATGACTATGGTTTAATGGCCGTCATTCATTCATCTTTAGTCCAGCATGCATGTGTCATGTCAGCATATCCTTAGCTTATTAAAACCAACAAAAATATCTGGATGAAAGGACAGTACATGGGTTTATTTTTTCTCTCTTTCAATCTTAATGTTTATCTCATAATTAATACTGTACATTTATGTTTGATGTGCCTGCTCGTAATTATATACTTTTCGTTTTACATTATACATTTCTACATGCATCACCATAAAGAAGTCAACGTACAAACGTGTATGTATCGTATTTATGGGCTGACTGAAATTCTTCTCGAAAAAATTTTTTTTTTAAGGTTTTACTTATTTATTTGACAGAGAGAGGGAGCAAGCAAGAGAGAGAGCGAGCACAAGCAGAGGGAATGGCAGGCAGAGGCAGAGGGAGAAGCAGGCTCCCCGCTGAACAAGGAGCCCGATGCGGGACTCCATCCCAGGACCCTGGGATCATGACCTGACCTGAAGGCAGATGTTTTAACCGACTGAGCCACCCAGGCACCCCTCGAAAATTTTTTTGACTCATGTTAGTTTGGCCTTGAAGGATGACTTTGCAGCCTAACCCTTCTTGAGACAAACGTCATCTCTAAAGAAAAGACACCACTGTAATAAGTGAAAAGGGAGGTAGCTTTGGCTTTATGACAAAAGAGGATATTGGGCAACTTAAATTGCCCAGTGATTTCCATGACAGATAGTGGCCTAAGGACTTTACATAAATTAACTCATTGACTCTTCACAATGACCTTAAGCGGTACTAATATTGAGGAAACTAAAAATCAAATAGGTTGATTAACTTGACGGAAGTCACATAGTAGCGAGGAGGAGAGCCATTCAGATTGAGGCCACACCCTGTCAATAATGGCCTACCTACCACAACTTTTTTTTAAGTGGCTCTGCTTCAACCACACACTTCTACTGCACTAATCAGCCGTGCTCTATAACTTATGGCGGTGTTCATTATCACCGACTGTGGCTTTTTTGGCCAGATGTGGACAGCTTTGTCAAGGGCAGCAATCCCTAGGTGTGCCAGCAATCTATCACCTGTGAGAGTTTATTCCAAAAAGATGAGCTGGGTCAGCGGGACTCCCCTCTTGAGAATTGAGAAAAGATGCTTCTCGATGTGCCCTGAGGGTCTCTCGATTCCTCCAAATATCATTATGGTGACTGAGCTGCCCATCCCTCAGTTAATCTGAGTGAATCTCTGTTCTTTACAATCAAAAGACCTCTAAATAAAACAAATGTCCAGATCCTTCTAGGAGACTTATGTAAAGGGCTTAATGTTAAGAACTTTTCCCCAACTTTAACCTGCTACGTGGCAGCCGAACCAAATGT